TCTGCAGCAATCTCTAGGAAGGAGGTACATGGCGTTAATGGGTTAATTTGACGTTACGGCGTGCTATGCTGTCCCAGCGTTAATGGGCTTAAACACCTTCACAGCGGCATAGCATGCCGCGGCGTTTAAGCCCACCCACATTCCCCCGATCCCTCCCAAACTGCACGTCACGGTGGAGGGACCTGCCTGGCAACCCAGGCAGGTCCCCTGTGGCCAATCCATGGTGATCTGCAGTTTGTGATCGCAGTGACAGCCAGTCATTTAACACTGTGATCAGCCTGTTTAGGGATTTTAGTACATTTGAACTATTATTATTTTTATTTTTTTAGGGTCAAAAAATATTTTTTTATTTTTTTTGACCCTTTGTCAGCCGCAGCAACCCAAATCACCCTTAACCCTTTGCCCGCTGACGTGATCACTGTACTGTACAGTATCGCTACTGTACAGTATTGTACCAGTGATCACTGTGGTTAGAGGGCTCTGATCGGACTGACTTTTTTGGGGGTTATTTTTATTTAAAAAAACAAAAAATAAAATAAAAATTAACCCTTTCTGTACCGGTCGCAGCAGCCTAAACTGCGATCAGTACATTTATTTAATTTTTTGAGGGTGGGTAGTAGGGTGTTAGGCAGGTAGGAATTTTGTAATTTCCCCCTTAGATTTTTTTTGATTAATAATTGAGTAGTCCCCCTAGAATGGCATGTTGCTACTCGGCCGAAGAGGCGTATGCCATTCTGGCGGGCAGTGATAGTGACACTCTGCAAGACAGCGACACTATCACTGCCTCTGACATTGAGGCTATGACTGACTCCTCTAGTGATGGTGCCCCACCACCACCAACAAGAGGACGCTCAGCAAGCCCAATGCCAGATGGAGACTGGGTGCCTCCAAACCTGACGGCCCCAGATATTCCCCCATTTACGGCGACCCCTGGCATCACTGTTATGGTGGATGCTTGGGAGCCCCTAAAATATTTTAATTTGTTCATGTCAGAGGAAGTATTTCAGTTATTGGTTGAGCAAGCCAATTTATTTGCCAACCAATATCTGACTGCGAATCCGGGGTCACATTACAATCGGCGTAATATGTGGCACCCCACAGATCTCGCAGAAATGCGCAAATTTTGGGCCCTAACTCTAGTTATGGGCATTGTCAAAAAGCCGAGTATCAGGTCCTACTGGTACAAGCAACCCATCCTGGCTACCCCTCTTTTCCCTGTAGTTATGAAGAGGGATCGCTATGAGCAGCTGCTGCGTTTCCTCCACTTTAACGACAGCACACTGTGCCCTCCAAGAAACGACCCATTGTTTGACAGGCTGTACAAAATTCGGTCCCTAATTGAACTCTTGTCAGACAGATTCTCCCAAAATTATGTCCCTGAAGAAAATATTTGTATAGAGGAGTCCTTAATGAAATTTAAGGGTAGATTACTTTTTAAACAATATATCCCTTCTAAACGGTCCCGATACGGTGTAAAATTTTATAAATTGTGTGAATCAAAATCTGGATATACATGGGCGTTTCGTATTTATCAGGGGAAGGATAGCCATCTTGACCCACCACGATGCCCTGATTCTGTGGGTACATGTGGCAAGATAGTATGGGACCTAATCCTTCCCTTATTAAATAAGGGATACAGGCTATGGGTTGACAACTATTACACAAGCATAGAGTTATTTAAAAGTCTATTTTGCTTTTGTAAGAATCGTAGAGGTTTCCCCCAAACCCTGGCAAGAGGTAGACGCAGTAGAGGCTCCCTCTCAGCGCTCCGCCAGAATGAGTTGCTTGCCCTTCGCTTCACCAATAGGAAAGATGTGTACATGTTGTCTACAATGCACGACGAAACTTCAGTGCCAGTGTCTGTGAGAGGTGGAACTGAGCAGCTGGAGAAGCCAAAGTGCATTGTAGACTACAGCAAGTTTATGGGGGGTTAGACTTGGCTGATCAGTGCATACAGCCCTATCTGGTGAACCGGAAGAGTAGGACCTGGTACAAGAAAATTGCAATTTACATAACCCAGATTGCAATTTTTAATGCCTATGTGCTTTATAAAAAGGAAGCCTTAGGTAGACCATGCCCATTTCTAGAGTTTATGGTACAAATTTTGTCTCAGATTATATTTGCCCAGACCCCAAATCCTAACCCTCCTTTGGAATTAGAAGATGTCCAACGACTTTTCATTAAACATTTCCCTTCCCGAATCCCCCAAATGGTATGCCATAACGGTGGAAATGTTATTACCCAGGCTGCCATTCTCTCTAAATAGCCACATAGGCCCAGCAAATCACTTTGTCAAACTTACAAGCTAAAAGGGCATCTAACATATTTCGCCCTGTACTTATCGGAAAGAATCTGAAATAATGATACGTGGGGGTACCGTTATATTCAGAAGACAGTATTAAATCAAAATACTGAGGTTTTAGTGCACTAATGCCAGGATTATGACCTTTCTAGTGAAAATGCAATTTATGTGATTAAAAAGACAAAAATAAAAGTAGAAATTGCTACATGGGCCCATCATTTCTGCTAAAAAGGCCAGACCAAACATCTCAAGGTCTGCCATTTGTTGTACTCTGGGTTGCCTACTTTTGAAAATGGTATGCCATAACGGTGGAAATGTTATTACCCAGGCTGCCATGCTCTCTCAAAGGCAAGATAGGCCCAGAAAATCGCTTTGCCAATTTTCAATGTGTAAAACCAAAAATGGACAAGCGTATATTTGACCCTGTAACGTTCCAAAACCCCATAAAACCTATACATGGGGGGTACCGTGGCGCTCGTGAGACTTCACTGAACAGAACTAGGAGTGTTTCAGGGCAGTAAACTATATACTGATGTTAATATTATCAGTAAAAGTACAGTTTTTATGTGAAAAATGCAAAAAAAAAAAAAACTAACTTTGGATAGCATTTGTGCCCAAGTGTCTACTACAAAAGACTAGCCATACCCCATTTTCAATACCCTGGGATGTCTACTTTTTTAAATGGTATGCCATTAAGGGGTCATTTTCATTTCTTGGCTGCCATACGGTCTCAAAGGCAGCCTAGACACAGCAAACCAATCTGACAAATTTCACTGTGAAAAAGCATAAATGGATAAGCCGTATATATGACCGTGTAACTTTTAAAAAACCCATAAAACCTATACATGGGGGTACCGTGGCACTTGTGAGACATCACTGAATAGAACTAGGAGTGTTTCAGGGCAGTAAACTATATACTGACAATAATATTATCAGTAAAAGTACAGTTTTTATTTGAAAAATGAAAAAAAAAAAACTAACACTAACTTTGGCTAGTGTTTATGCCCAAGTGGCTACTACAAAAGACTGGGCATACCCCAATTTGAATACCCTGGGATGTCTACTTTTTCAAATGGTATGCCATGATGGGGTAACTTACATTTCTTGGCTGCCATACGTTCTCAAAGGCAACCTAGGTCCAGCAAACCAATCTGTGAAATTTCTATGTAAAAAATAAATAAATAGACAAGATGTATATTTGACCCTGTAACTTTCCAAAACGCCATAAAACCTATACATGGGGGTTATGGTTTTACTCATGAGACATTTCTGAATACAAATATGTATGTTTTATTGCAGTAAAACCAAACAGTATTGTGACATTAGCAGTTAAATTGACATGCAGAAATTGAAAAATATCAAAATTTCTTAATTTTAAAAACTTTTTTAGATTTTATTCATATAAAATGGAGTTCTATCTATGAATGTTTGATATGGAATAAAAGCCCTGTTTCCCCTGAACAAACCGATATATAATAAGTGTGGGTGCACTTAGTATGAAAGAGGTAAATTATAGTTGAATAGACATAGAGTCAAATTCTGTGGTTTGTTTACATTTTGTTTTGATCACAACTTGTACATTTGGCTCCGTCCTTAAGGGGTTAACATTTACATGAATGCCAGGACCCAAGGTTTCCCAGCAGAACATTGCCCAGTGTGTGGGAGGGGAATGATAGTGTGTGTGGGGGTGACAGTGTGTGTGGGGGTGACAGTGTGTGGAAAGGCTGTGTTTTAGTGACAAGTCTACTTAGATTCAAATACCTTTATTTTTCAGTGATCAATTCTCTGGTGGTCCAGTGGTCTCTAGGGGCGTACCTAGGGTCTCTAGTGCCTTTGGTGAGAAGCTGTTTCGGAGCCCCCCTCTACCTCCAGTCATGTTCCACATAGAATGACTCCTATATAAGTGCTCCACCATGTAAATGGAAGCTGAAGAAACAGACCTAGCATTATATTTTGTTTCCTAATCCTCCCTGTCCCCTAAAAAATGAATAAATAGGAAGTGAGGTTCCTAAGGTTTCTTAGTAACAGAGTCCTGCCAATCACCCAAAGCCCTTCACACTACAGGTGATACTCGAAAAATTTGAATATCATGCAAAAGTTCATTTATTTCAGTAATGCAACGTAAAAGGGGAAACTAATATATGAGATAGATGCATTACATGCAAAGCAAGATAGTTCAAGCCGTGATTTGTTATAAGTGCGATGATTATGGCTTACAGCTCATGAAAAACCCAAATCCATAATCTCAATAAATTAGAATATTATATGCAATCAATAAAACAAGGAGTGTACATAGAACAATATCGGACCTCTGAACAGTATAAGCAGGGCCGGTGCAAGGATTTTTGCCGCCCTAGGCAAAAAAATTTTTGCCATCCCCCATATGTCCTGCCCAGCATGTGACATCACAATGCCCCGCCCATATGCTCTGCCATATGGGCCAACGCCAGTCTGCACAAAGTGTCTTTTATCTGAAAAGACAGTGTGTTTACATTAAAAAGCCCACGGGCACAGGCTATAGAAACCAGAACCACTACATTAAAGGACCACTATAGTGCCCTAAGGGTGCCCCCACCCTCAGGGACCCCTCCCGCCGGGCTCTGGGGAGAGGAAAGGGTTATATCTTACCTTTTCTTTTTCAGCGCCGGGCGGGGAGCGCTCCTCCTCCGATCCTCCTCTTCGGCTGAATGCGCATGCGCGGCAGGAGCTGCGCGCGCATTCAGCCAGTCTCATAGGAAAGCATTTACAATGCTTTCCTATGGACTCTGGCGTCTTCTCACTGTGATTTTCACAGTGAGAAGCACGCAAACGCCTCTAGCGGCTGTCAATGAGACAGCCACTATAGGCTTTAGAGGCTGGATTAACCCTAATATAAACATAGCAGTTTCTCTGAAACTGCTATGTTTATAGAAGAAAGGGTTAATCCTAGAGGGACCTGGCACCCAGACCATTTCATTAAGCTGAAGTGGTCTGGGTGCCTAGAGTGGTCCTTTAAACTGTAGTGCTTCTGGTGACTATAGTATCCATTTAATGTGAGGTAAATTAGAGATTAGTGCCACTAATAATATATCGGATTGCCTACTTACCACTAGATGAGGACAAGAGGATGATGATGGGCTCAGTCTGGGTCCACAGGTCTGGTGTAGAAGAGGCTCTCTGGAGACTGTTTGTAACAGTGCTCACAACAATTAACGAACAGGAAGCAGCTCCATTTTTTGGGGCCCCTTACACAGCTCAAGGTCTGGGCCCCCAGAGCTTGACCGTGAGTATGCCTACAATGCCCACCCATAAATCCACCTACATAGCCCACCCATGAGTTCTCTCACAGGGAGTGGAGTGTATGTATGTGTAGGGGATGTGTTATTGTAGAGGATGTGATGCAGGCCCGGACTGGCCATTGAGCATACCGGGCAAATGCCCGGTGGGCCGCGATGGCCATGGGTTGAGGCCAGCAGGGGATCTCCCCAGCCGGCCCCTGCAGGGCCAGTGCTATCCGAGCGCCGGCCCTGCTGTGTGCCTCCGTGGGCCGGTGGGGAGATCAAAGATCTCCCTCACCAGCCCAGAGGCATGGAGTTGCGGCCGCCGGCTGGGGAGGGAGGGAGGCAGGAGAGAGGACCGGCGGAGCTCTAACAAGCAGCTCCGCCGGGTCCTCTCGCGGGATTCTGAGCGTTGCCGCGGCAACGCTCAGATCTCGCGAGAGTGAACTCTAACCCGCAGGTTAGAGTTCGCTCTCACCACTGGACCACCAGGGAAGGCAGCATGGCATCCCACCCCCCAGGCAGAACGGATCTCCTCCTCCCCCCTCCCAGGATAAAGGTAAGAAGGGAGGGGGGGATAAATTTTTTTTTTTTTATTAATAAAATTAATATATTTAAATAAAAAATACATTCACTCACCCACACATCACCCAGACACACACAGCACCCAGACACACACAGCACCCCCAAGACACACACAGCACCCCCAGACACACAGCACCCCCAGACACAGCAGCACCCCCAGACACAGCAGCACCCAGACACACACACAGCACACCCAGACACACACAGCGCACCCAGACACACACAGCAACCCCAGACACACACAGCACCCCCAGACACACACAGCACACACAGCACCCAAACTCACACTGCACCCCCACACACACACAGCACCCCAGACACACAGCAGCACCCCAGACAGCAGCACCCAGACACACACACAGCACACCCAGACACACAGCACCCAGACACACACAGCACCCCAGACACACACAGCACCCCAGACACACACAGCCCCCAGACACACACAGCACCCAGACACACACAGCACCCAAACTCACACTGCACCCCCAGACAGACACACATCACACCCAGACACACACAGCACCCAGACACACACAGCACCCCCAGACACACACACAGCACCCCATACACAGCACCCAAACTCACACTGCACCCCCAGACAGACACATCACACCCAGACACACACAGCACCCAGACACACACAGCACCCCCATACACAGCACCCAAACTCACACTGCACCCCCAGACAGACACATCACACCCAGACAGACACAGCACCCCCAGACAGACACAGCACCCCCAGACAGACACAGCACCCTCCCACACACAGAACACTCCCACACATACAGCACACACATATATATATAGAATAATCCTCAGTGAGTTAACAGACAAAGAAAATTAGAAACCTAGAATGTGACAGCAGATAAAAAACACCCTCACACACAGCACCCCTCTTACATACACACACTGCGCCCCTCACACATACAATAAGTCCAAATAAATAAATATATATATATATATATATATACACACACACACTACAGCACCCCTCACACTGCACCACTACACACATTATGCTCCAGATACACACTAGATCCCTTACCCTATATGCACTCTTAATCCTCTACACACACACACACACACACACTGGGTCCTTTACACAGTAGATCTCCTACACACACACACACTACATTCCTTATCAGCAAACACATACAACATTCTCTAAACACACCCTCTCTGCAACCCCTACACACACTACGTCACCTATACACACACACTTCAGCCCGTATGCACACACTCGCTGCATCCCCTATAAAACTATGCCCCCTATACACACACTCTCTACAGCCCCTAGCCACACATATTACACCACAAACACAAATGAAATTGACCTATTTATACAATACCACACCACACTCTACACACACGCAATCCCACAAGCAGGCTCCAAACATATGCACCATGCACTTTCCTGGCCCTTTTGTCCTCTGGTATCCCACTTGTGGAGACACCAGAGACAATTTAAAAGCAAACACAGCGCAAGCATGTTATTAAATTTGCTTGCGCTGCGCAGAACAAATTCAGGGCCTTTTTCTAATGCTAGAGCTCTTCAGCAGGGCTCTGGGCATTGAACCAACATGCTCACTTTGAGAGGGGGTGTGCCTTTCATTAGTGATTACAAAACACACACTCTCTGGCCCGCCCCCTTATTAGGGGGCCGCTCTGATTGAAAAATGCCCGGGCCTAATTTTTTTTCCCAGTCCGGCCCTGATGTAATGTGTGTGTGTTCTTATAGAATGTAGTGTATAGGGATACTAATTTTGTAAGGGATGTAGTGTGTGTATAGTGGATGCATTGTATGTTTCTGGGTGTGTGTGTGTAAGGGATGCAAGGTGTGTTTCTGTGTGTGTAATTGAATGCAGTGTTTGTCTGTAAGGGGTGCATTGAGTGTGTAAGAGATGCATTTTGTTTCTGTGTGTAAGAGAATGAGTGTTTGTGTGAGCGTAAGGGATGCATTGTGTGTTTCTGGTGTGTTTGTGTGTGAGTAGGGATGCATTGTATGTTTGTGTGTGGGGGGGATGCATTGTGTATGTGTGTAGTGTAAAAGAGAGGGTTTGTGGGGTAGGATAGGGACAGAGAGGGGAGCAGCTCTTTATTTTTATTTTTTAATTTCATAGTGCTCTCCCCTCCTGTCAATTAGTGATCTCCCCTTCCCTCCTGTCCCTCAGTGTTCTCCCCCTTAGTGCTCTTCCTTGGCCCCCTGTCCCTCTGCAGTCCCCCCTTGGTGGTCTTCTCAGTCCCCCCCTCTCCTTAGTGGTCCCCTCCCTCTCCCAAACCCCTTATTGGTCCTTGCCCTCCTCCCCCCTTAGTGGCCCTATCCCCCCTCAGTGGTCTTAACCTTCTTTCCCCCCTCAGTGGTTCCTCCCCTCTACTGAGTGGTCCTCACTCCTTAGTGGTCCTTCCTCTTTTCCCCTCCCCCCCTTAGTGGTCCTTAGCCTCTTCCCCCCCTTAGTGGTCCTTACCCTCCTCCCTTCTCCTTAGTGGTCCGTCCCCTCCTTTGGTGGTCCTTCCCCTCTTCCCCCCCCCTTAGTGGTCCTCCCTCTCCCAAACCCCTTAGTAGACCCCCCTCCTTCCTCATTGGTCCTCCTTAACCCCCTCCCTCTGCCAAACCCTTTAGTGGACCTCCGCCCCTAGTGGTCCTTACCCCCCTCCCCAGTGGTCCTTACTCCTCCCTCTGTGGTCCTTACTCCCCCTTCCCCCCAGTGGTCCTTACTTCCCACCCACCCTCCCCCTCGCCCTCAGTGGTCCTATCCCTCCGCGGTCCTATCCTCCCCAGTGGTCCTAACTCCCTCCAGTGGGGTCTAATCCCACTCCAGTGGTCCTTATTCCCACCCCCCTCCTCCCCCAGTGGTCACTTACCCACTCCCTCAGTGGTCACTTACTCCCCCTCCCCTCCCCCAGTGGTCACTTACTTCCCCTCCCAGTGGGTGCCCTCCCCTCCCTCTGTGGTCCCTTTACCCCCAGTGAGGTCGCCCCACTCCCCTCCCACTCTCCCTCAGTGGTCATATTCCCATTGGTCCTTATCCCCAGTGAGTCGCTTATTCCACCTCCCTCCTCCCCCAGTGAGTGCCCACCCCCCCTCCCAGTGCCCCACTCCCCCTCCTCTGTGATCACTTACTCCCCTCCCCAGTGGTCATACTCCCCCCTCCTCTGTGGTCCCTTACTCCCCTTCATCCCCAGTGGTCACTTGCTTCCCACCCACCCTCCCGCTTTTGTGGTCCTGCCTCCCCCCTAAGCCCCTCAGTGGTCCTTATTCCCCCCAGTGTTCCCTTATCCCCCAGTGGGTCCTTGTTCCCCCCTCCCCAGTGGTCATATCCCCCTTCCCGGTAGTCGCCCTCTCCGCCCCAGTGGTCATATCCCCAGTGGTCCATATTCCACGCCCTCCTCCCCTGTGGTCGCCTCCCTCCCCTCAGTGGTCCTTACTCCCCCTCCCTCTGTGGTCCTTCTCCCCTCCCAGTAGTCGCCTCCCCCCCTCCCTCTGTGAGGTCCCTTACCCCCAGTGGTCACTTACTCCCTCTCCCTCAGTGGTCCTTGTCCTCCCCTCTAGTGGTCCTTATTCCCCCCCCTCCCCAGTGATCGCCCACCCCCCCCCTCAGTGGTCCTTATCCCCCCCCCCTCACAGTGGTCCTTATCCCCCCTCCCCAGTGGTCCTTATCCCCCTCCCCCAGTGGTCCTTATTCCACCCCCCCACCCCCACCAGTGATCCTTACCCTCCTCTTCCCTCTTCTTTTGTTCCTCTTGCCAATGTAGCGTGGCCGGGCGGAGCGGAACGCAGGACAGGTACTTCTGTTTCCTGAACCCGGCCGCCGGCGGACTGAAGGGAAGGCCACACTACATTGAGAGACCGGCAGGAGGGAGCGCTTTGCGCTTCCCTCCTGCCAGTCACTCAAATCCGGCCACCCTCCATACAGCAGTGCTGTGCCGCACCGGGCACAGGGATCCAGCGACCTCTGCTAAGGTGCGTCCTAGGCGGCTGCCTAGGTCGCTTTACAGGTAGCGCCAGCCCTGAGTATAAGCATGCATATGGACTCAGTACTTGGTTTGGGCCCCTTTTTCAGCAATTACTGCCTCAATGCAGTGTTGCATGGAAGCTATCAGCCTGTGGCACTGCTGAGGTGTTATGGAAGACCAGGATGCTTCAATGGCAGCCTTCAGCTCTTCTGCATTGTTCGGTCTCATGTCTCTCATCTTTCTCTTGGCAATGCCCTATAGATTCTCTATGGGGTTCAGGTCAGGCGAGTTTGCTGGCCAATCAAGCACAGTAATCCCACGGTCATTGAACCAGGCTTTGGTGCTTTTGGCAGTGTGGGCAGGTGCCAAGTCCTGCTGGAAAATGAAGTCAGCATCCCCATAAAGCTGGTGCCACTATGACTTTGTTACAGAAAAATTTGATCTCTGAAAGTCAACACACCGGGGACACTGTTGCTGTGCGGGTAGCTGGAGGCACTGTATTTTGACTACCTGTAGCCCGGGATCACTTGGATTGGGGAGTTGATTTGGGACACGTTAATGTGGGGGTGATGAAAGACCTGCCAGCCGATGTACTATTGGGAAATGATTTGGCCCCCCTGGTTTCTGCCTACGCTTCGATGGGTCCTGCAGAAGCCAACCCTGTGACCACCCATGCCCATGCTCGTGCTGCTGAAACCGGCCCACCTGCTGCTGAGACCCAGGTAAGACTGTCTTCCCCGACTTGTACGCTAGACCATGTCCCTCTAGACTGGGATACCCCTGAGGCATTTGGGAGGGAGACCCGGGAGGACCCGACACTACAGAAATACAGGGCTAAGGCAGACGCCCAGGAGGAAGGGATAGACGGGGAACACTTTGAGTGGGTGGGGGGATAGACTATATAGAATCCCTAAACCGTCCCCAGGGATTAAAGCCCCTTCGCAGAGGCGACAGCTGGTGGTGCCCGCCAAGTACCTTCAGGAGATTCTGCCTACGGAATCACCCAGAATTTCTTTTGGCCCAATTTCAACCAGGCTGTGCGACAATATTCTAGCACGTGCAACACATGTCAACGGGTAGGGAAGAGAGGAGACCACCCTAAGGCTAGACTTATGTCCATGCCTATTATTGGGGAACCCTTCTCTCGTGTTGCTGTTGACATTGTGGATCCACTGGCCAGGGCTAGTTCATCAGGGAAGAAATACATTCTCACCGTGGTGGACTACGCCACTCGTTACCCAGAAGCAGTAGCCCTGTCTAACATTGAGGCAGAGACAGTGACTGATGCTCTGGTTAAGGTCTTTTCTAGAGTGGGGTTCCCTAAGGAGATCCTCTCCGATCAAGGAACCCAATTCACCGCTGTGCTCACCCAGCAGTTGTGGAAGGTGTGCAATATTAAGCCCTTGCTTAGCTCACCCTATCATCCACAAACTAACAGGCTCTGTGAGCGTTTTAATGGTACCCTCAAGCAAATGCTGAGGACCTTTACTGACGCTTGCAGAGACTGGGAGCGATTCCTCCTCATCTTATATTTGCGTACAGAGAGGTACCCCAGGAATCTACTGGGTTCTCTCCTTTCGAGTTGCTCTATGGGAGAAGGGTCCGCGGACCCCTCGATCTCATCAGAGGACACTGGGAGGGAGAGACAGAGCAGGAGGGGACCCAGCGGTCCCTTCATGTGAACATGCTGAAGGAAAATCAGGAAAGACAGGAGGATGATGCTGCTGTATGTGCCCCCAGTACCAATGATCCCGAGAACCTACCTCTCCCTGACTTACTAGAGCCAGAGCCAGCCCAGGTGGAGGCAGTAGCTAACTGGCCCACGCCCCGCACCAAGACCCAGGTACTGGCCTTCTTAGGGATGGCAGGGTATTACCGACGGTTTGTACCCAACTATAGCACGATAGCCAAGCCCCTGACGGACCTGACCAAGAAGAATCTCCCTAAGCAGGTCCTGTGGTCTCCAGCTTGTGAAGCCGCGTTTAATGCCTTAAAGCAAGCCCTTGTGAATGCTCCCGTCTTGGCTGCCCCAGTAACTAATAAACGTTTTCTCATCCATACAGACGCTTCCATGTTTGGACTGGGGGCTGTGCTAAGCCAGGTCGGGGAGGATGGAGGAGAACACCCTGTCGCATACCTGAGCAGCAAATTATTACCATGGGAAGTGAGTTATGCAGCAGTGGAAAAAAGAGTGTTTGGCCCTTGTCTGGGCCCTTAAAAAGCTAACTCCCTACCTATACGGACAAGAATTCTTCCTGATTACAGACCACAACCCATTGGTATGGCTTAACCAGGGTCGCAGGGGACAACGACCGGTTGCTGCGGTGGAGCCTGGCCCTGCAACCCTACAACTTTACTATCACCTACAGACCCGGTAAGAACAATGGTAATGCCAGTGGGTTGTCACCAGGGGCATATTAGCCGCGAGGCAAACAAGGCATTTGCCTTGGGCGGCATTTTTCAGGGGGCGGCAAAAAAAGCCACCCCCAAATGCCCAAGGCAAATGCCTAGTTAGCCTTGCGGCTAACAGACATGCTGGGCTGGGCGGGCGGCTGGCGAGGGAGCACTTCCTCTGAGCTGTCTGCTCAG